CCCGCACTCTATCACCAAGACGGAGAATATCTTGAGAGTAGCTACGCAATTCGCGGATATCTGAGAGAGATACGACCACTATCCAAGGAATTTACGACAAAAAATATTCTTATCGTTTGATTTGCTTCATTCTTCCATTTGTATAATTTATTTGGTAGTTATTTATTTCCACTTTATGTTTCTTGTAAATAAAAAAACCTGTTGCTGGCCCTCTTCATCTCTGTCAGTCTTTTATAATTGCAATATCTCTTCCTCTCTTATCTTTCCTTGAGTTCGTTATCAACGTGTTCGCTTGAATGGGTTAGTTTACAATTTGTTCCATTAATAAAATATCTTTTTGGGGAAAGATTGACTTTACTCAAGTTCAGGATATTAATCCCGAAAGGTTAGTGTCGTGTTGTAGATAAGACCGAACCAGAGACCTGGCAGTGGGGGGGCATGGATTGTTGGAGCCACCTTTTTTCAGGTTTGGGGGGGTCGTGGACCGGGGGGGGGGAGGTCGTGGACCGGGGGGGGGGGGAGGAGGTCGTGGACCGGGGAAGGGGGGCGTCGTGGACCGGGGAAGGGGGGCGTCGTGGACCGGGGGAGTGGGAGTCGTGGACCGGGGTAGATGCAGGGAGCTTCCTGCCACCCACTCCGAAAGCCTCCTCACAAAACATACCATCCTGAAATTCTGAACTTAAATTGCCAGAGTCTAACATACGTACTCAATTTACTCCAGTTTAAGCCCTAATATTTGTCGATATTCCCCGCAACTGCGTCATTACCTTCAACTAGTCTAATCACTAGTGATAAAATCAATTTAACGATAAAATACGCACACACTTATGCCTATTAACATCGAGCTAAGCACCCCCTCTACAACTATAAAATGTTTAATTACCATTATCATCATTAACGTTTTCGTCGTGTCATCTCCATCACCATCTTCATCACCTCAAAATCTCTCCTCATAATAAATACCAAAACGTTATTCACCACACCTTTGAATTATTAATTTTAAACCCTATTTGGTTCTTGGATTTACGATGGACTAAGTGGGCTACGCTGGGACCTGTGTATTTCATATTACTAATTAGAAATTGAAGTTTATTGATGACCAGAAAACACAATCGACTTGAGAATGGTCCAGGACGGACCGAAACGTCGTCGTCCCTTCAACTTCTAGTGTGTGGTCTGGTCAACATACTTCAGCCACGTTATTGTGACTCATCGCCCGCATGAAGTTTATTGAGTGGCAACTCAGGGCGGGGATGATGCCACACAAGAAGCAAATGCCATGCTAAAACAAGATTTTCAGTCACTTGGTTATAAGGAAGAGAGGGGAGGGAGGGGTGGGGTCGGACGGGAGACATAGAATAGCGGTGAGAAAGGGAGGAGAGAAGAGGAAGGAAGAGGAGTATTGGTTAAGAAGGGATAGGGATTGGTTGGAAGGGAATCGTAGGATCTGTGTCGTATCATCTAGTTGCTTTACGAGCTATTCATGCCCGTGCCCCTCTTGGGTGGCTTAATTTTCATCAGTCAATCAATCTCGTTGCTGTTCGTTCCATGTATGTCGAACCTGTTTAAGTACCGTAAAGTATACACGTATACACGCCTTCCTTGACTCTCACCAAGGAGGGAGTTTGTTCTCAGGGGTATAGGAGGCTATGCTACGTTTTCCACCTTCAAAATCGCTATGAAATACACGAATGATGAGTAAAGAGATTATTCAAGACGTTCGTGAGACCAAAATAAGAAAATACAGTGGTGGAATGATGCCCATATCTCAAAAAGTACATTAATAAGCTAAAGAAGGTACACAGACATGCACTTGAAAAACAGGAGCTATAAGGTGACACTAATGGTTCTAGCATACCAATGGTAGATGATAGAAGAAAATGAGGTGATATGTTTACTACATACAAAATAGTAACAGGAATCGACAAAATTGATAGATCAGAATTCATGAAACTACGTATTCAACAATAAGAGGTAATCGATTCAAGCTAAGGAAAGAAAACCTTTTATAAAATATAAGTTTTTTTTGGCCGAGTGGTAGACGGCTGGAACAAGTTATAGAGAGAAGTTATAGCAAGAAGTTGAGGCCAAAACCATTAGTACCTTCAAAGCATCACATGATACAGAATACTGGGAACACGAGACACGCACAAAACGTAGGTAACGCTCAAGACCAATGAAGAAACTCACCTTCAGCGGATTGCTATTGACATGTAGAAGCACAGTATACCTTTACATTCTCCAGAGGACAAACTTGCACACCGAAACCTCTCGTTAGTTTCGTGGCTGTGATGAAGGCCGACTATAGCGAGACTGGGCGGGTCTTTACATACAGAGATTAACACAAGTGACATTGGGTAAAAGTGCGTTTCCATAAACTCTCTCCACTCTCGTGTTCGTAGCTGTGTTCTCACTATGTATTCTAAATTGACTAATGCAGCTACTGATCTTATGCTGCTGCTGCTGCTGTTGTTTTTGTTGTTGCTGCTGCTGCTGTTGCTGCTGTTTTTGTTGTTGCTGCTGCTGCTGCTGCTGCTGCTGCTGCTGCTGTTGCTGCTGCTGCAGCATGCCTGCGAGATGGAGACCTTTTTTTGTTTTGTTTTTAGCATCAACACACACGTGACGAACTGCAACATTGCATATCGTCTAGGGATGCTACATAAATGAAGATGTATTTATGTTAAGGACAAATTTGTTCAGAAACGCCGAGTTTCTGACCCTTGTCCAAGGTTATTTTTTAAGCTAGTGGACCTGAAAGAGTTTTGAACCATCTCTATTCTGATGAAGACGAGTTATACTTCTTAGTCGCTACAGAGCTTGAGATGCGAGATGAACTGAAGATAGTAACTACACCAACTTGCGCATTGGTTATTAGAAACTGAATGAGCAGCAACCAATGAGCTATTGTTCTTGTGGATACAAGATACGACGAACTGATGGAACTGGACGTCGTTCTAATCACCTAGGCTGTATGGGTCTCGAACCGTGACAGCCTCACAAACACAGCTATCGTGTCCTAGAACACAGCTATCGTGTCCTAGAACACAGCTATCGTGTCCTAGAATACAGCTATCGTGTCCTAGAACACAGCTATCGTGTCCTAGAACACAGCTATCGTGTCCTGTCACGATAGAGCCAAAGCTCTATCGACTGAGCAGTCTTAAAAAAAAGGAGGACGTCGTTATTTATACATTTCAGGTTTGTGTGAGCTTATTCTCAACTCTTCAGCCACGTTATTGTAACTCATCGTCGTCATCACTTCAGTGGACATGGCTACCGATGGTCCTTCCCAGGACGCTAGTTCCCACAGACGTTTGATCCACCTAGAACCCTCGCCCATGGGGCTTTTTCAGTCAAAGCTTCGTGTATTTCTAAGACTTCTCTCAGAACCGAAAGTGGACGGGAAGCCTCGACAATCAGCAGGTAAAGTGACAGGAAGTTCAACCATCGACAGGTAAACAGACATGAAGAATTAACCGTAGAACAAGTCACAGACGGGAAGCCTCGACCATCAGCAGGGAAGTGGCTATGCATGTCACCATTAGCAGATGACCTTTAACCTCTGGTAAACGAAGGTCATCACTATGCATAACAGCCCTGGGTACTGGAGTCCACAACAGCTCTGGGTACTGGGGTCCACAACAGCCCTGGGTACTGGGGTCCACAACAGCCCTGGGTACTGGGATCCACAACAGCCCTGGGTACTGGGGTCCACAACAGCCCTGGGTACTGGGGTCCACAACAGCCCTGGGTACTGGAGTCCACAACAGCCCTGGGTACTGGAGTCCACAACAGCCCTGGGTACTGGGGGTCCACAACAACCCTGGGTACTGGGGTCCACAACAGCCCTGGGTACTGGGGTCCACAACAACCCTGGGTACTGGAGTCCACAACAGCCCTGGGTACTGGGGTCCACAACAGCCCTGGGTACTGGGGTCCACAACAGCCCTGGGTACTGGGGTCCACAACAGCCCTGGGTTCTGGGGTGCACTCCAGCCCTGGGTACTGGGGTCCACAACAGCCCTGGGTACTGGGGTCCACAACAGCCCTGGGTACTGGGGTCCACAACAGCCCTGGGTACTGGGGTCCACAACAGCCCTGGGTACTGGGGTCCACAACAGCCCTGGGTACTGGGGTCCACAACAACCCTGGGTACTGGGGTCCACAACAACCCTGGGTACTGGGGTCCACAACAGCCCTGGGTACTGGGGTCCACAACAGCCCTGGGTACTGGGGTCCACAACAGCCCTGGGTACTGGGGTCCACAACAGCCCTGGGTACTGGGGTCCACAACAGCCCTGGGTACTGGGGTCCACAACAGCCCTGGGTACTGGGGTCCACAACAGCCCTGGGTACTGGGGTCCACAACAGCCCTGGGTACTGGGGTCCACAACAGCCCTGGGTACTGGGGTCCACAACAGCCCTGGGTACTGGGGTCCACAACAGCCCTGGGTACTGGGGTCCACAACAGCCCTGGGTACTGGGGGTCCACAACAACCCTGGGTACTGAGGGTGCACAACAGCCCTGGGTACTGGGGTCCACAACAACCCTGGGTACTGAGGTCCACAACAGCCCTGGGTACTGGGGGTCCACAACAGCCCTGGGTACTGAGGGTCCACAACAACCCTGGGTACTGGGGTCCACAACAGCCCTGGGTACTGAGGGTCCACAACAACCCTGGGTACTGGGGTCCACAACAGCCCTGGGTACTGGGGTGCACTCCAGCATGTGGTGTGAGGGAGCCCTTGACCAGCTGTAAGTCATGCGAAATATGCTGACATAATAATTATATATAAAAAAAGGCAAGTCGCTAAACAAGAAGATGGCTAACAAGTGTATGTTGGCATTTGGTGTTATATAACATAATCACCATTAAAACCGAACATTCTTTGAGATTACTTTTAAAAACAGTGAATGAAAAACCCCCAAATTACAAAGCGATTGTACATTTAATATCTAAACCATTATTTTTACTGTAACGCGCCTATCTAATGTCATTATGTTTGCTGTAAGAAATGTGTCTCCTGAAATCATACAGTATGGTGTGAATGTGTCTCCAGAAACCATACAGTATGGTGTGAATGTGTCTCCAGAAACCATAGCGTATGGTGTGAATGTGTCTCCTGAACCCATACAGTATGGTGTGAATGTGTCTCCTGAAACCATACAGTATGGTGTGAATGTGTCTCCTGAAACCATACAGTATGGTGTGAATGTGTCTCCTGAAACCATACAGTATGGAGTGAATGTGTCTCCTGAACCCATACAGTATGGTGTGAATGTGTCTCCTGAACCCATACAGTATGGTGTGAATGTGTCTCCAGAAACCATACAGTATGGTGTGAATGTGTCTCCAGAAACCATACAGTATGGTGTGAATGTGTCTCCAGAAACCATACAGTATGGTGTGAATGTGTCTCCAGAAACCATACAGTATGGTGTGAATGTGTCTCCAGAAACCATACAGTATGGTGTGAATGTGTCTCCAGAAACCATACAGTATGGTGTGAATGTGTCTCCAGAAACCATACAGTATGGTGTGAATGTGTCTCCAGAAACCATACAGTATGGTGTAAATGTGTCTCCTGAAACCATACAGTATGGTGTGAATGTGTCTCCAGAAACCATACAGTATGGTGTGAATGTGTCTCCAGAAACCATACAGTATGGTGTGAATGTGTCTCCAGAAACCATACAGTATGGTGTGAATGTGTCTCCATAAACCATACAGTATGGTGTGAATGTGTCTCCTGAAACCATACAGTATGGTGTGAATGTGTCTCCTGAAACCATATAGTATGGTGTGAATGTGTCTCCTGAAACCATACAGTATGGTGTGAATGTGTCTCCTGAAACCATACAGTATGGAGTGAATGTGTCTCCTGAACCCATACAGTATGGTGTGAATGTGTCTCCTGAACCCATACAGTATGGTGTGAATGTGTCTTCAGAAACCATACAGTATGGTGTGAATGTGTCTCCAGAAACCATACAGTATGGTGTCAATGTGTCTCCAGAAACCATACAGTATGGTGTGAATGTGTCTCCTGAACCCATACAGTATGGTGTGAATGTGTCTCCTGAAACCATACAGTATGGTGTGAATGTGTCTCCTGAAACCATACAGTATGGTGTGAATGTGTCTCCAGAAACCATACAGTATGGTGTGAATGTGTCTCCAGAAACCATACAGTATGGTGTGAATGTGTCTCCAGAAACCATACAGTATGGTGTGAATGTGTCTCCCGAAACCATACAGTATGGTGTGAATGTGTCTCCAGAAACCATACAGTATGGTGTGAATGTGTCTCCTGAACCCATACAGTATGGTGTGAATGTGTCTCCTGAACCCATACAGTATGGTGTAAATGTGTCTCCTGAAACCATACAGTATGGTGTAAATGTGTCTCCTGAAACCATACAGTATGGTGTAAATGTGTCTCCTGAAACCATACAGTATGGTGTGAATGTGTCTCCTGAAACCATACAGTATGGTGTAAATGTGTCTCCTGAAACCATACAGTATGGTGTGAATGTGTCTCCTGAACCCATACAGTATGGTGTGAATGTGTCTTCAGAAACCATACAGTATGGTGTGAATGTGTCTCCAGAAACCATACAGTATGGTGTGAATGTGTCTCCAGAAACCATACAGTATGGTGTGAATGTGTCTCCTGAAACCATACAGTATGGTGTAAATGTGTCTCCTGAAACCATACAGTATGGTGTAAATGTGTCTCCTGAAACCATACAGTATGGTGTAAATGTGTCTCCTGAAACCATACAGTATGGTGTGAATGTGTCTCCAGAAACCATACAGTATGGTGTAAATGTGTCTCCTGAAACCATACAGTATGGTGTAAATGTGTCTCCTGAAACCATAGCGTGTGCCATAACACACAGGAGGATGCGATACACAAGTCGACTATTTGCTTTCATCATGGTGGAGCGGCTGTTGCCTTCAAGACGCCCAGAATGCAAATTCAAGGAGGAGAAGGTTAATTGGGTCGTTAGGAGGCGGGTCAGGGGCTGTGGTGATTGGTACCCGCTCTTGTCTGGTCCCAACTGGCAGCACGTGCCTTCTGGGGGTGGCAGACACGGGGTGCTGGAGTAATTGACACGGGGTGCTGGAGTAATTGACACGGGGTGCTGGAGTAATTGACACGGGGTGCTGGAGTAATTGACACGGGGTGCTGGAGTAATTGACACGGGGTGCTGGAGTAATTGACACGGGGTGCTGGAGTAATTGACACGGGGTGCTGGAGTAATTAACACGGGGTGCTGGAGTAATTAACACGGGGTGCTGGAGTAATTGACACGGGGTGCTGGAGTAATTGACACGGGGTGCTGGAGTAATTGACACGGGGTGCTGGAGTAATTGACACGGGGTGCTGGAGTAATTGACACGGGGTGCTGGAGTAATTGACACGGGGTGCTGGAGTAATTGACACGGGGTGCTGGAGTAATTGACACGGGGTGCTGGAGTAATTAACACGGGGTGCTGGAGTAATTAACACGGGGTGCTGGAGTAATTAACACGGGGTGCTGGAGTAATTAACACGGGGTGCTGGAGTAATTAACACGGGTGACACGCACCATAAACACCAAAAACACTCGAATACTTTTACTAAGAATTTTTTTCAGCGTCAGGAAAGTTAACAAATGGAAAGCATTGATGTGGTCAGTAGACGAGTGAATAGTGAGGTAAACCCAGCAATATCAGAAGGAGACAAGCGAGGTAAACTCATCAAGCTCAGAGGCAGGAGGCAAGCGATGTAAACTCACCAATATCAGAAGCAGGAGACAAGTGAGGTAAACTCAGCAATATCAGAAGAAGGAGACGAGTGAGGTAAACTCAGCGAGAGAAACAAACGGAACTTAAAATACCTATTTGATCGGCCAGCTTTAAAGTTTGCCTCACATTCTCCTACAGTTTATTAAACTAAAGACATATTTGAGGATCAACTCACATTATATTTTTGGGGGTATAATGTGTTGTGATTTTATTACAAACAAACTGCTGAAGAGCATAAGGCTTTGTCGTAACTGACCCAACTCAGCAGCCATGTTAAGTCACCAGCTCCGCCCCCACACAACATTCATCAAATCGTCATATATGATGAATGTTGTGTCTACAGTAAATGTCAGCTGGACTAAGTAAACCTTTAAGACGGAGTAACAGGGATATAGGTTTTCATCACTGTAAGAGGTATATAGTGTTCTTAGTCTATCTCCTTTCCCTGGACATTCCTTAGAGAGAGCGATATTTCTGAGGATAGGTTGAGAATGAATGTCGCACCACGTATAGGGTAAGTCCCAAGCAGGGAAGCTGGTATACTAGGAGTAAACTCGTACTACGATGAAACGAGACGATATCTCGTCCTACGGTGAGAGAAACGAGACGATATCTCGTCCTACGGTGAGAGAAACGAGACGATATCTCGTCCTACGGTGAGAGAAACGAGACGATATCTTGCCCGTACCGTGAGAGAAACGAGACGATATCTCGCCCGTACCGTGAGAGAAACGAGACGATATCTCGCCCTACCGTGAGAGAATCGAGACGATATCTCGCCCGTACCGTAAGAGAATCGAGACGATATCTCGCCCTACCGTGAGAGAAACGAGACGATATCTCGCCCTACCGTGAGAGAATCGAGACGATATCTCGCCCGTACCGTGAGAGAATCGAGACGATATCTCGCCCGTACCGTGAGAGAAACGAGACGATATCTCGCCCTACCGTGAGAGAAACGAGACGATATCTCGCCCGTACCGTGAGAGAATCGAGACGATATCTCGTCCTACGGTGAGAGAAACGAGACGATATCTCGCCCTACGGTGAGAGAAACGAGACGATATCTCGCTCTACGGTGAAATAAACGAGCCCATTATACTAAAGTGCAGAACTAGTCCTATAGTCTATACCAAATAAAAAAAAATGTCTCGGCTACCCTCAAAAAAAATAAAATCAGACAATGCTTGAATAAATTGATATTACTATCAGCGTTTAAAACAAATCAATAATACGAAGTAAAGTTATCATAAAAAAAATAAATTCTCCTGTAGTAGAATAATTCAAATATATGTAATAGTTTAAACAAACTCGCCATTGATCTGCTGCTCGTATATATCTATTCTCTTGCCTGTGAAAATTTCTGGGAAAAATGCATTATCGTCACATTTATTAGTAATTTATCATATATTATTACTAAGCTAATCTCCGCACAACAGACCCTATTATTTGTGTAATGGAGTAACCGCAAATATTTTCTAAATATTATATTTTTATTAGTGAGTAGATATAATCTTTACATCTTCTGTAACTAATCGCCCATTTAAGACGAGACCACGCTGGTGTAAATTCTTACACCACCACCTGACAGTAGGCGCCTGATAGCTGATTGGGCAGTGCCTCGGATTCGTAGTCCCGATGTTCCGGGTTCGATCCACGGTGGAGGCAGAGACAAATGGGCAAAAAGTTTCTTGCACCCTGATCTCCCTGTTATCTAGCAGTAAATAGGTACTTGGGAGTTAGACAGCTGCTAAGGGCTGCTTCCTGGGGGTATGTAACAAAAAGGAGGCCTGGTTGAGGACCGGGCCGCTGGGACGCTAAGCACCGAAATCAAGATAACCTCAAGATAAGCACTCCTGCAGTGGACTAATACCAGACCACGAGGTGTAAACTCTCACAGTGCTCCTCCAGCAGTTTACCAAAAGACAAATCAAACGTCTTTATTGATAATCAATTTAGATTAAATTAATCTGGACAGAAATTGGACATAGGTGCACAAAATTGGATACAGCTTCTTAGTACAAAACATTTGTAATTCAGCAAAACTGAGCACACATTCACTGAGGTGTGATCTCTCTTTCTCTACCGAGCATTCGATTAGAAAACATCACAACAATTCTGAAGAAATGTTCACAAGATCTGAAGATTCAAATTCAAATGTTTATTCAGGTAAAATACATACATACAAGGTGAGATACAAACATTGATGGATTTAAACTTGAAGCTTAGATCGGGTTTAAACTTTTATGCCTGAGTTCAAAATTGTGTTAAGTGTAATTGGTAATAGTGATTACTTGACGTGGTCAGGACAGAATCTAAAACAACAACGTCAAACTGAAACGCTCTATAAGGAAGACAGGTTGTTCAGTCACAAGTATTACCATACTATCTCCCATTCAGATGAGTAATATATATATAAAAACACCAAAGTGCCCGCAGGTAAACAAGGCATATATAAACATACATGCCCAAAATAATTGACCATTGCGAATATAAATTTACATAAACATTCATCATTTTCACTTTAGGGCAAATAATGATACCCCCAAAAAATTCGATACGCTTGACATTTAACAAGAGAACAATAGCATAGAGGGAGAACACGTCCTCGCGGCCGAGTATGGTAAATGATGTAATAATAGCCACAACACTCAATTCTTATTCCTGCTGGACACCCATCCGCCTCTCAGCTTCTAAACGGGGATAATACTTCAGAGAACCGCATCTAGGTGCGCATCATGCGCACCCATCACCCGTATTAATTAACGAGGCGGCGGTATAAGGCGCATATGTAATTATTAACCACTCGGGTGCCGATTAACTGGGAAATACGTGGAGTGTTAGTTGGTCGCCGCTGAATTATATTATAAGCGGCTGGTCGGGACGACGTAGTGAGTCGGCTGGTCGGGACGACGTAGTGAGTCGGCTGCTGGGATTGACCGCAATGGCTATCGTCGGTTAGTTCAAGGCGCGTCGGCACAAAGAATTGGATCCTGTGACGGCAATCGTGGATTCAGCGCCACGTGAATCATGGCGTTTTGACTTATAAAGGATTAATTAATAGTTCAATAAATGTGGTAACTGAAAATAATTCCTGAATAAAAGAAGGATAAAAGAAATAGGAGAATTTGGATTCAGAACTTTAGTATCTCGTAGAAAAGGTCACAAACAGGATAAAAATGATCTTCAATATTGAACACGAATAATCTTGAAAATGCAAGCAGCTACCTGATTCTAATGGGAAGAACGAACAAGCATAACCTGAAGCAGAACAGGCTGAAGAACAGGAAAACACTGAAACAGATGAACGAAGCAACAGCTGTAGTGGAAGAAAGAAGCAGAAGATAAAACAGAGAAACCAAAACTCGTATTTAGAGAAGCAAAGCCTGAAGAAGAAGAAACCACACCTGAAGCAGACGAAACCAAACCTGAAGCTGACGATACCAAACCTGAAGCAGAAAAAACAAACCTAAAGCAGAAGTAACCAAACCTGAAGCAGAAGTAACCAAACCTGAAGCAGACGATACCAAACCTGAAGCAGAAAAAACAAACCTAAAGCAGAAGTAACCAAACCTGAAGCAGAAGTAACCAAACCTGAAGCAGAAGTAACCAAACCTGAAGCAGAAGAAACCAAACCTGAAGCAGAAGAAACCAAACCTAAGGTGATTACTTCACCTTAACCTTCCTCCTCCCCCCCCAAGTTTCACCTCTTTCACCTGTGTATTTAAGACAAAGCTGCACTTAGTATATTCATTCCTTACGATGTCATACTAAAGAATAGATAACCTTCGATAAATAAAATAAGAATTAAAAGAATAAACTTCGCGATTCTTTTAACAAATAAACGCCGAAGTTACACCACATTCGTAGCGACACATTAAGCACCAAACCATTCAACTAATCACACCAAAATTAACAATCACCGATGCCGCTCCACCCAAAACATGAGAATCCCAATCAACAAACCTTGATTAGGATTGTTGATTATCATTCCTGAAAACTGCAGGGGAGATGTCATCAACTATATTTACAACAGTAGCAAGGAGCGTGGCGAGCAGTAGAGGGCAGCCGAGGGAGGAGGTCTTGGGGCTTGCCCAATTGCTCCTTAAATCTACCTTCGACGTTTGGGGCACGTCCCGCATAGGTGATCCTGGCGGCGGGCTACAAAACCCCTTCTGTCCGGCGGCGCCCTAATGGGCAGAGCGGCAACATGGGGTCTTTAAGTTAGGAGAGGCCGAGGAAGGACAGGATGAAACGGAGGGAGTTTTTGGAGGCTGATGAGGCAGAGGATGGGAAGGGTGGTGGGTTAGTTAGTGGGC